TGCTGAGTTCAGTCTTAGTTGTGGGTGGGCATAGCCCACCATCGAACAGGTAATCTTCTTGTTACACCAAATGAGCCATCCTGCCACCTGTTCGCAGCTCAGCAACAGCTCAGCTTGGGTGCAGCATCACTGGCCCATGTTGGATTTGAACCGGCGGCCCTATTGCTCAGAGCTTGCACTCTTAAGCCAACTCTTAACCAACTGAGCCACTCAGCCAGCCCCAAAATTTACATTTTTATCTTAAAATCTGCGTATTACCTTAAAATCTGAAAATTGGCCTAAAAATGTGTGTTCTGCATGCATTTGCATGTTTCCAGATTCTGTGCTTTGGCTATTACACCCAGAGGGTCCAAAGAATGTGTGGCTTATGCTGGAGGAGGCTTAGCACCTGCTCCTGGAGGACTATTCCCCCACTTAGGAAAGGGTTGACAGCTGGACTGAACCACTTTGATGCCTTCTAACCACAAGCACTCCTGATCTTCTTTCAACAATACCTGCCTGCCCTATGTCCCACTCTGCAGAATGCGGCCATTAATAATATATGTGCTAAGATGCTAGCCTTTAGCTGGTGGGACACACCTCACAGGTAACATAAATAATAGTTATAGTAGATATTGCAAACTCATAGTTTTTATAAATGTGAGACTTCTGATCCAGACAAGATGGCATAGGTCAATTTCTCCCTGCTTTTTCCTGCTAAATACAGCTATAAACCCTGCATATAATGTAAGAGACAACTAAAGGAGGCACTGAAAGTTGGTAAAAAGAAAATTATGAAAACCAAAGACAAAAAAAATTGTAAAAGCAACCAGAGAGAAACAATGCATTACCTATAGGGGAACACAGATTTGAATGACAGTACATTTTTCATCTGAATCCATGGAGGACAGAAAGAAGTGGCACCACTTTTTTTCAAATACTGAAAGAAAAGATCTACTAACCACAAATTCTATGTCCAGCAAAACTATCCTTTAGGTAAAAAGGGAAACTAATAGAATTCGTTGCTATCAGGCCAACTTCAAAAGAATGGCTAAAATAAATTCTTGAAATAGAAAAGAAAGTCTTGGTGCATTAGGAAGGAAAAAGGAATAATAGAGCATAAATATGGGTACATAAGTAGACTATTTTTTTGCTTGTGAGTTTTAAAAATAATATTTGATGATTAAAACAAAAATGATAAAACCATCTGATACTCAAGAAGAGCATTATGATATTTAAAAGTGGGGAAGGTAAAGTGACCTAAATAGAAGTGAGGTTTCTACACTTCACTCAAGAGTGGTAGAATATTGGTACCAGTGAACTATGTCAGTCACATATGTATATTGCAACGCTCTCCTAGTCCTTCAGCAGGATCTGTCTGAAAGAGGACATTAAAGTAGCTGTCCCCACTTTTGATGCAATCCCCCACGCGACCCTGAGACAAACAAAGCCCATCTTGAAGCCGGGGCACCAGAGGGCCAGCCCCCCTTCACTCTCTCTCAGCCTTCTTTCTGCTCTGCCTTCACCCCTGGCCTTGCATTTCTTTGTTTTCCTGGGGCGATCATTGTTCCCATGAGCTAAAGTTAATTGCACCTATGTGTTGTGTGGTTGCAGTTGGGGCAAACAAATTTCTGACTGAGACAATATGCATGTGTAGTAAATGTAGAGCACTCAAAGGATGGAAAAAGGTATACCAACAAAACAGTAGTAACAAAAAAGTTGGTAGCTATCAGATAATATATAATTTAAGACAAGAAATATTACAAGAGTCAAAGAAGAAAATTTTGTAATTATAAATGGTCAACACATCTGGAAAATATAACAATTGTTAATGTATATGGGCCTAACAACAACAACAGAACCTCAAATATATGAAGCAAAAACAAAATTGAAAGATGAAATAGATAATTCTAGAATAATAGCTGATTTCATTGCTCCACTCTCAATAATTTATAGAATACCTAGACAGAAAATCAGTGAGGACCCAGAAGATCACGCAATTTGACCCGATACATAAGAGCACTCTACCTAGGGACTGTGTGATACATTCTTTTCAAGTGTACTTGGAACATTCTCCAAGATAGACCATGTGCTAGGCCATTAAACAAATCTAGATAAACTTAAGAATTTTTTCATGTAAGAAGTCATATGAAGTCTGTTCTCTGACAATGGCAGAATTAAATAGAAATTAATGACAGAAAGAAGTCTGGGAAATTTCCCAAATGTTTCAAAATTTAAAACAACATGCTTCTAAATAATATCTGGGCCAAAGAAGAAATCACAAGAGAAATTATAAAATATTTTAAGTTATGTAAATATGAAAA